CCTCTGTGAGTACCTTTGGATCTATATGGTTTGGGGTGCATAGGCTGAGTCTGGGAGAGATTCAGTGAGGGCTGTAGACTTGGTATCAGGAGGGTTTGGAGGGGCAAAATCAAGGAAGAACTGCTTTCATGGCATCAATTTCCTGCAAATCCACTAGGAACATTCCCTCTCCAGTCTCCCCTCGCCCCCAAACATCAGATTACATTGACACAGTCTGCACAGGTTTATGCAAATTCACACTTGACACTTGCAACTCTCCTTGAGGCTTCAATCCAGCAAAGCACTTAAGCACATGCTGAACTATCATCATGCGATTAGTCCAACTGACTTCAAAAGGACTTGTCCTGTGCTCAGTTAAGTATCTGCTTAAGTGCTTTGCTGGATTGGGGCCTACAGGAGCTGGCCACTAGGCATTTCAGGAACTCCTGGCAACATGACTCAGTAAGGTCTCAAAAAGTAGTGCTGTGAATACCCCAGGAGCTGAAAGTTAAGTTTTCCCCTGGAACTTGGGACCACCACCAGAGGCAAACCAACTTTCACTCATCCTCTCGCTAATGTCAACCCTCCCACTGATTACATGGTTGGGGGAGGTGCATGTATGCACTGAAAAGCATTTATATGATTTAGCCCACAGATTCCAAAACATGTAATGGCATTTTTCCCCAACTAAGAGCAAATCTCTGCTGTAGGATCTGTATGGGCAAATTATATTGTGCTCTTCTCACATGCCTGGTGTCTTGTTAAGAAGAGCTCTGTCCTATAATGGAGATCCACTGTGTATATCAGAGCACTAGAATTTGTCCTGAAATTAGAAAACTACATGTTTGAAAGTTTGAGTTCCTCTCCAGATAAACAAGTAACTCTTACTGACATACTCCAAGGCTGTGTCTAGACTGGCCAGTTTTTCCAGAAAATCAGCCGCTTTTCCAGAAAAACTTGCCAGCTGTCTACACTGGCCGCTTGAATTGCCGCAAAAGCACTGACTTCCTACTGTAAGAAATCAGTGCTTTTTGCGGAAATACTATGCTGCTCCCGTTCAGGCAAAAGTCCCTTTTGCGCAAAACTTTTGCACAAAGGGGCCAGTGTAGACAGCTCAGATTAAGGGCCAGTGTAGACAGCTGAGATTTGTTTTCTGCAAAAAAGCCCCGATCGCGAAAATGGCGATCGGGGCTTTTTTGCGGAAAATTGCGTCTAGATTGGCCACGGACGCTTTTCCGCAAAAAGTGCTTTTGCGGAAAAGCGTCTTGCCAATCTAGATGCTCTTTTCCATTAAAAGCATTTCTGGAAAATCATGCCAGTCTAGACGTAGCCCAAGAGTGCACAGAAAGAACATCAGCATAAACCTAACATAGAGGCTCTATTCTGCTCTCATTCCCATAACTCTAAATGGGGTTACATATGTGTAACCAGAGAGGTTAATTTTGGGATATTAATACCTACACTTTCAGTGAAGTATGAGACTGATCCTGCATTTGTTGCACATTCAAAAGTCAGTTGAAGTCCACTGAGTTTTGTTTGCTTGATTGTATAATGAAGCTCTACTGCCCCATCCAGCATATTTAACTATAAGCATATGAGTAGTTCTATTGGCATCAAGGGGACTGCAAAACATGCTTAAAATAGAGCCTGTGTATTAGTGGTAGCAAAATCCAGTTTTACCAGCACAGAGAGTTAAATATAGATACAGTTGATGGATAAACGGGATGTAATAAACCCATCTCTGATTAGCTCAAAGATTTGGCAATCAGATAAAATATGCCATCAGGAATTTCTGAGTAACATTACCATTACACACCTACTTTGCTATTTCCTCTATGAGTACCCACTGACTGAATATTACAATGGTGAAAAATTGTTCATTAGTAGTGCAGATGCCACATTTAGAAAAGGCTGGTACTACTAATCATCAAACGAGCAAAGATATCTGCTCCTGACAATAATTATACCTCTGACTGGCTCGATCAACAGTTACAATCAGACCAGTTGCTCTGCTAATAAACAATTTTATTCACAACAAGTGTCTCTGTTGACCTTTGACATCACAGAAAGCCTTTGATAAAGCAGATTTACAATACACATAAAAGTGCAACCTCCATTTATACCAGTTTTCTCAATGCAAGATAGGGAGTTTTAATGCATCTATTTCTTAAACCAAGAAGAATGTCTTCTTTATGGTTATAAATTACTTATAGCTCAAGAATACCATTTCCATACCCAGAAAACATACAAAATCTCTCTGTTCTAAACACAGCCCTGCCTGTGCTTTAGGAATAGATGTTAATGTCACTTAACAGAAAATAATTATTACTCTGGTTTAGTGACTTAAAATAACAGTACTAGGTACAAATACAGTATGTTTTCCTTAAGTAACAAATTGCCAATCAACATGAAGCCTTTTGTCTTTTAGCTGCACGTTTCTGAACAGATCTTTTTATCATTCAAAACTATTTAAAATCAATGATAAAAACATGTCAATGTATATAAACAAGTTAATGGAGTAAGTGAAAACAAAGTACATTTCTTAATGAGAGTGTTATGTTGCCCTCTCTAGGCCCTGGCTCTAAATGCTGGTTTCTGTAGGCTCTCTGCCAAAGAAGTATCTGTGTGAGCTGTTGCTGTTTCTTGCTGCTGCTGTTACTCTGCTAATGAATGACTAACTTAGGCCAGAGGAGAAATGACATCACTGGGGTGTAAAATAGTACTGCATTAGGAAACTTTCCACCTGCTTTACATTTGTCATAATTATTCTATACAATGCAATAATCATTTGCATAATTCTAAGGCATGCCATTATCTCAATTGAAAATTGTTTTCAAATGGTTGAATAATTCAGAATGACATCAGTTAAAGCTCTAATGAAATATACAAGTATAATCATACTGCTAATTACTATCAGTGTTTGCATTTTTTAAAAAATCAAATCATGCATAATATTATGAATGTACATGCAGCTGAGAATGACTGCATAGCAGGACCATTCTTATATGTAATGGCAGGATTAATGTTCTCTGATGTTCATACCACAGTAACATGATCTGACCATTACAGCATATTAAAATGATTTGTGCCCATTTCCCCACCCCTTCTCAGCCAAAACTCTTTCATTTAAAAACACACACACACACACCTATATGGCTTCTAAATATTCACCAGGAGCAGTTTTAGGAACATCCATCCTTGGTTGTAATTTTTTAATCTTTAAGGAAAGAGTCCTCAATTTCAATTGTGAATACCGAAATTAAAATAGGTAAGTGGTCAACTGAGAAGAGGTTTACAAGAAATGTTTCAAATACATTTTCGAAAGAAGTTACCACAAAATGTCTAATAAAATTCAGAATGATTTCCTGTCTGGTTTAGCAGAATGTCTACTACACGTGTAGTCCTTTCTGGATATTTAATCCTCCCCTTTTCCAGATCACAGCCCATGTTGAAGTAATAAATTTGAAAAGCAAATAATAAGTACTAGTAAGGGGGAGGGGAAGAGAGACAGCTGCACAGGAAAGTTGGACAGGGGGAGGGGACAGAGGCACTTTCAGTAGAAGAGAGGTCAACCTGTTAATGTTTTTCAATACCCTCTCCATGCTCCAAAATGTCAGCTCTTAATTATTGACATCAGAAAAGATGGGCAATTTAAAAAAAAAATAAAGTCGGACAGCGGAACTACATGTTAATTTCAGAAGAAGCAGTGGATAAGGGAATATTTCAAAGGTTACAGTAATTAAGTAACATATAATAGGAATGGGTAACCCGATACTTCGGGGGGGGGGAGCTTGAGAAAAACTACAATTAACTCCATCAGACTATGGACTGTTGAAGGCATTGGCAGCTCAATTTGTATGGGGGCTCACTGTGGAAATAAGGAAGGCTTCCAGTCACTTCCCCCTATGCTTTGGGAAGCTGAAATATTATTGCAGCCACATCTGGCTATTTCTGAGCGCTCTTTAACTGGCCATCTCTCCGCATAAACATAGCGCCGTGTGTACACCCCACTGAAATAGTTCCTCAATAACACAGTGCAGTCAGCTGACTAGAGTAGCCAGCAAAATTGCGGTCACACATGAAATTACAGAGCTAGCAGGCTACACGGTAAACGCAATCTCTGGGTTCCAGCCCTTGGCTCTGAACTGACGGAGGCACTTCTGATCAAACTGTCCAGGGTGAAATTGACAATGGGCTGTCCCTAATAGAAGTAACTCAAGGAGACTGCAGGAGAAACCAAACGGCTTGACTTTAGCATTAGCCTTTAACTCATTGCCTCCCTCCCGCCCCCCTGTCTTCCTGGAAAATGCCCACTTTTTTTCATAGTCATTTTAAACTAGCCCATCTAGTGAAATGCACCAGCACAGAGAGATCGTTGTGAATGCTTAACGTGTTTGTGCTGGTTACATGACTGCTTTGAAATACGCCCAGGCATATCTGCAAGTTATTTGAATGTATTATTCCAGTACCTGTCATTTATCACTTTATTCAACACGTCTTTGCCAGCTCAATAGCTTTGATCTCACTCAGCCACCATTTCGTAATTTCCGCCCTCTTAAATATATCAAATACTAAAAAAATGTTAACGATATCTAAACCCAGCAAATCCCCCGGCCCCTAGCCAGCCACTGAAATCCGGGGGTGGGGGAGAACATAAAACACCACACACAGCATGTGACGTTCCCAGAGCATCAGCAATGAGTGAAAAAAAACCATTTAAAAATCCTTACATTCCTCCCCTCCCCATAAGTTATTTGACTAGGGTTTATTTTAAAGAGCAGACGAGCTGCTCCCCCCCCCCCTCCGTAAAGCTGCCATCGAAACTCTTACAATGGCAAACAGCTCGAGCCCTTGTTTGTGACACTGTCCCTTTAAAAGAGCCTTGCGTTGCCTGCAGAAGGGAACATTTCAATCCTGTCTTTTAATAAACACTGGGGGGGGGGGGCAGTCCGCACACACACTCACACACAGACACACACAGCCGCGCACATACACAGAGAGGCAGAGACATGTTTTACCACCTCGCCATGGTCACTATTTCTGCCCTGGGGAGTATCTTCTGGGAGGAAATAAAGTTTGGAGCTGGATAAAAGTTGCCGGCTAGTCCTCTCTTCCCACAACAGCTGGAGCTCCGCTATGCAAATCGGATCCTCTGGCTTACATCTTACAAAGAAAAAGTCGCCAAGGGACAAAATTCTTGGTCTGCCTTCAAGGTGGAACTGAAAAGCCTTGTAGAAAATGTAAGGACCGTGCAAGCCACACGGAGAGCCGACCCACTGCAGGGAATACAAAAAAATCAAGTCAATAAAATAAATATAATCATCATAATAAATAAGACAATCGCATATAAGAACACAAATAGGCTGGAGGTGGGAATAACATCACCTAAAATAGGGAGTCAGGCATTAGCCAGCAAAGATTCCCCCCCCCCCCAAACAAATAATAATCCTCTATGTGATAATAATCTGTGGCTATGTATGATCAGCGAAGGAATTGTAAAAGGGGGGAAATGCCATTTGGGGTGCAGAGGGGAAAAGTTTACTGGAAAGTTTGTTGGTGGGGTGCTGGGGTACGGGGGGCACGGCTGGAGGGGGGGCCGGGCAGAGAAGCGGAGGAGAGACGAATACCTGGACTGAGTTGGGCTCCATCTCGACGTTCTGAATTGATTGAACTCAACATTCTCTCCAAACTTGTTGGCTTGAATGGATTGCATCAGGTCCTGGCAGGGTAAAGCTCTCTTCGCCAGCAGCCAGCCCGAACCCTCAATATAAAACCTGAACCCCGCCTTCCCAGCTCACCTAAAATGACCAGAAAAGCAGCCTAATATTTTTCCTGGCCCCCAATTTCCCAGAGATGTGGAAACGACGAGTTTTTAATCCCGATTGCTGCCTGATCAAATTGGCAACATGGGACGGGGTTGAATCTAAGAGTAAGACAGAGACGGAGGGATCAAGGCAAAATTGAGATCGAGAGCCTGAAAAAAACATTGCAAAACTGGAGATTGTGCGGAGACTCGAGTTAATTCTTGCAAACCCCTAATGATGAAGGACAGGATCATGGTTTCATTTTTTGATCGGCAAAAAACTGCCATGTTCAGCTGCGGATCTGACAGGACCTGCTTGTATATGTCTAATATAAAGAACATTTCCTGCAGAGATTCTGGGGCGCAGCTCGTCTTTCTAATTCTCTTTAGCAGATTTGCCTTTATTAGACATGTAGATTTATCTGATAGTTAAATTACGCTCCCTTACTGCCATATTTTCAAGGAACTTAATACGTTACATTAGCGGCTTGGTGCCTGTTTTCTGTGAGAGAGGGAGAAAGTGGGTTATCGATTATATAAACATATAAATATTAATGCATTTGTTCGCTTTGGAAAAAAGACGGGACTAATGAACACACACACAGAACCACGGGATTTTGCAAACAGTATTGAACGGCCAGCTACTGCATATAGGGAATGGAACAATAAACGATGCATGATAAATCAATACATGGGAGCACCGGGTCTTCTCTGCCTATGAATTCAGGCTGCTCCCAGATCTGCGTGTGCATTCTTTAATTTTGATGTATATACATTAGTACGTGTTTACAATGCTGATCTCTGCCAAGGGCGATCGCAAAGCCTAATGTGTTTATATAACCAAGTGCCGCAGAAATACTGACTTTAACACACACGCTGGAGAGAGCTAGAGAGCTACCTTAGTAATAGTTTGGAACCGGGAGGAGGGGGAGGAGAGGGAAAAATCCATTTGGAAACTAGTTAAATACAACTAGAAATTAAGCTGTTTAAAACCGGGGGCATGAACCGTGAGACAATAAAGGCTTTAAATGTGTATATTTATTGTTCGGGAGCCCTCAAGCATTGCAAGGGTTATTATGCAAACATTGAGAAACTTAGGAGCGACAGAACAAGGAAAAGGCACAGTGAGCTATGAAATCAAATGGCAAAGCCCAGCGCCAATCCAGCAGCCTATATTTTCACCAGCAACCTTAGAGGCATTTTCACAGCCTTCGTGTAAAATGGTGCATTCTCTCTCTTCCTGCTCTGATTTGATTATACTGACACCGATTCTATTAAACTAGGTCTGGCATATTAAAAAGTAAACATACAATATATGGGAAATAAGGTCTGTACAGTATGACAGTTGAAACCTGATCTGTGATAAAATTACAGGATGTTGAAATTACTAGTAAGCTATTTTTAACGCTTTCGCAACATTTCACCTCTAGTCACAGAGTCTAGTTGAAACACGATTACTCTAATGAAAATTATATTCACATGGCTGAAGTTAATAGTATGGGAAAACTAGGGTGATAAATGTATATTCTCAGTGACTTGCAGCTTAGATCATAGACTTTCTTATATTTTCATAATGCATGCGTTCATTTCAGTGAGATTAGCGTATTTAGCATTATCTAAACCACATTTAAAAATATGCTGAAGTAATACATGCGAGATCTAGCTTGTTTCTGTAGAGAGAAAGGAAAGAAAATGGCAGATCCTCAGATTACAATAAGAAATAAAAGCCCATGCCAAAGAACTGGAAGCTGTCGAAAACTATTTTAATAATTTAAAGTAATATTACAACTCTGCCAGATGTAGGAGGCCATGCAGCAGTTTGTAGTGTTCTCTTCCATTCTTCAGCATAGCTGCCTTAGATGATCTGTGGGCATCAGGCTAATGAGTTTTTCTTGAAAGTTCATGTGATCGTTATAGTCTGTGGAATATAGGGTTACGGAATTAAAGGACTCTACTGTGCCTTTCTTTACCATGCAGTCAGTATAGTATACATCTAATTAAATTAACCTACTTTATCCATCTTCAAATAGCATGCCTATAGGTGATGAGAGGGCATTTAAAGATTGTTTAACACTAGAGGCGACTGATGCGTGAATTAGGCAACGCATTGTTCTGGTAAACATCTAGTGCAAATGAAGTAAGCTTGTTTTAAAGAACTTGGGTTGCAGTATTTTGACAAGATCATATTTAAGATTGACTGAGTCAGTTTCCTGTATAAGCAATGCAGCAGCATTTATGCAGGAAACCTCAATAGAAAGCCTCCAGGCATTCCTCTATTGTATATTAACCTCCTCCCCCCTCCATGCACAACGTTTTACAATAGCTGAGCAACTTCTGTTTTGTTTGAAGCTGCGTCTCCAAGTGTCTATAAGATACTTTATCTAATTAGAAACACTGTATCACTGTCTCTTAAAGGTAGGCGCTCCACGGTACTGCATGCTGCGTAATCCTTGAAGGGAAAAATCAGTGGTAAGGTTTTTCTGAGGTTAGCAATTGCAGTGCAATGCCTTGGATAGTTCTGAAAAACTGCAGATTGGTGCTGCAGAGAGCCAGATCCAGGCAAAGTAATAGCCTCTCGACCCAAGAAACTACCTCAAATCAAAGCGTGCGTCCAGTTCTGTGAATGGCTTTAAAAGTGTATTTTAAAAATCATGATCTAAATCCACTTCTGCTTTCCCTTCTCTTAATGTGATGCTTGCTACACACCTGTAAATTATCTCCTCTGCAAATAGCCATACAAAGAAAGTTTCAATTAAGATAAGTAGATTGTATAGAAACTGTTCTTTGAAGTAATGTAGTTAATAGCCTGTTTGATTTCTGCTTGTGAAAGAGTAATAACGTGTATTCAAGGCTCCATCAATCACAGAGCAGATGTAAGGCTTCAGACACTGACACCCAGGGGAAAAGAAGCAAACTCCTGCAGTGCAGGGTCTCTCTACTAATGTAAAGTAAATACTCATAAACAGATTGAATGGTGGAGGAAGACAATCCAGTCAGGACAGTTATAATCATGAAAGCAACTGCTTTCTTTATCTATCAAAGCCCGAAGCTGGGATTTGCGGAATATAAAAGAGTGACAAAGGCAGATTGGGGTGTTTATATTTCTAGTTTGTTTCGTGGTCTCATTATATAGATAAAAGGGTGTGTGTGGATGTGTGTGTGTGTGTATTGTGTGTGGATGTATTTTATATTTAATATAGCTATAATACACCCTCCCCTTTTTATCTGATTTCTTGAATAAGGCGGGAAGGCCGAGGGAGGGGGGATGTTATTCAATGGGTCTGTGAACCCTTTCGTAAAAGAACCGGAGGATTAAGTTAGCTGCTAAACCAGCAGTGAAATAATCAGGGGACCTTCATCTGTAATAACCACTGTCATAAACAGTCCGCTGTGCAGGCATGGGACCTTCCTTGGCAAGGGCAAATGCCCCGCCCTCCTTTCTCTCGCTCCACTTTTTATTTTTTATTTTTTATTTTGCAAGCGAGCTGAAGCCTTTCGACCTTGACTTCAATACTACTTTATGTTTCAGTACTTTAGTCAGCAGTTTATCTACTAATTGCTACACACCACCGCATGTGGCTTGACTCCGCAACTGCAGCGCTCTTGCGCCGGTGAACGATGCCTTGAGAAGACCCGGAGATTCGAGCTGGCTGGCTATGCACCCCCTTCTCCTCCCCCCGCACCCCTCTCCCCCCGCTTTCCTCGCCAGCAGCCGCTTCTCTCCCGGCGACACTAAAGCTCAGACGGCAGAGAGCGAATGGCCCCGAGAGCTCTGCCCCAGGCCGGTGGGTGCGAGGGGGCAAGAGGAGAAAGGAAGAGCCGCCCGGAGTAGCCAGGCAGACCCGAGGCGCAGCGAGGCATCCCGCTGCCGTGGCTCCGTTGAGGTGCGCGGCGCTGCCCACTGGCGGAGCTGGAGCATCCGCTGCTCCCCTCTGAGGACCTCGGCCCGAGGGCCAGCCTGCGAGAGGCGGGGAGCCTGCCAGCGCGATCCCAGCCCGCACCGGGATGCGCCCTACCCCCAGCCCAGCCTCGGAACAAATCCGGCCCTGCCCTTAGACTGGGCCGTTCCGCGCGGGAGCCTGCACAGCCCGATCCGACAGAGCCCGGGCGCGGCCAGCGAGACAGCAACAAGTCTCTGGGCGAGGGGGGCGTGAGGTTCCCCTGGCCGGAGCTTTCCTGGCGACTCCTAGCGCCCAGCGGTTGCGTGGCAGCGGGGCGCTGCGTTGGCTGCTCCGTGCTTTTGCCCTGGCTTCAATACAGAGCTTGTTGCAGCCAGGCTCCCCCCGCGCCCGGCTATTTTAAGGCCCGACTTCATGGGCGCATCGCCGCGCTCCGGCCATCCAGGAGGAGGCTTTACAAACCCGTTTTCATGGCAAGCTGTTCGCGGGGCAGAGGACACCACCCAGCGCTGGGGGCTCGGACCCTGCCATGCCCATAACAGAAAGCCCAACACTTGCCCGTTGCAAGCTCGGGAGGGCAGGAATGTCCTTATCTTTGGAGTCCGGAGGAAGCCAAGCGCACTGTTGGTGTTTATTATTAATAACCCTCTCTGTAATCCCACTTGGCTGGTTTTTAATGAATGGGCATGCCAACGAGGGCCGTGCGGCGGGGGTGTCATGGCTGGGGACCCCTTTTTAAAGTTTGAAATGTAACTCTTCTTAAGAGGCGAATTCTGCTCTCCAAGTGCTCCCCTCAAATCGCAGGAGTGCCTCTCCCTGCGCATCCATAGGCAAAACGTATCCCAGGGGTCCTCATACACCCAACACTTGGGCGCATGCTTAGCTGAGGTGTCTAATTCAATAGTTCAATGAAACTAGCCACATGCCTTAAGCACACGCCTAGGAGCTTGCAGGCTCAGATTCTGGTAAGGGCAAATGTA